CTCGGCAAATTTGGAAAGCAGATTTGAACTCAGCATCCAAAAACACGTCTAGCAGTGTAGATCTCATTTCAAATGGCCACTTCGACTTGGGATCCTCCCCTGGTGAGTAGAAGGTGATAACCGCAAAGGCAATTGCCGAGGCAAGCCAGAAAGGCGATGATCATTTCTTTCGTCTCCTGTTTAGGACTGAAAAGTGTGAAGTCTGATAAAAGGACACAGAACGTCCTCAGTGCCTCTTTGAAAGTGGTTCTGTCATGCAAGCATATCGCAGAACCTACATGGGAACTAGTTTGGTCGCTCGGAGAGGAAGGTGTAGTGTTGACGGTAAAGACAGGGGATCCGCCCTTTTCCACTTGCGGCTCTTGATGAACCTCGGCGTATTTTCAAAAAAAAAAAACCTTATTTGTACAACTCCCCACGAGGTTTATGATACCTTAATGGCTAACGTTTCGGTGAAACCACCTTTGCCGATACCTAAAAGGATGGAATCAATTTATGAGATTACCCGATAAAACATCTCCACCCCCACAATATCTTCGAGACCAACTTGATCACCATACAATTCTAGGTGGAAAAAGTACCGTACCTTCCTGATGAGCAGAACCGGCCTTAGTGAGCGACGTAGACTGGCTGCCTCGAGTTCAGAATTCCTTTTAGGCTCCGAAGAAGGTAGTTTCACCGAAATGTTAGCCATTAAGGTATTGTAAACCTCGTGTGGAGTTGTACAAAAAAGTTTTTTTCGAGATCCACTCTTCGTAATGATTCTGTGAATGCTGAAAATTCTATGACAAGCTCTGTTTCCGTACATTTGTCTGGTTGACACTTGGGTAATGAATGGAAGGAGGAACCGTACCCCGGGAGGGGATATAAGGGTACCTTGTAAAGAATGCTGTTTCCGTGACTCTTTTACTCTACATACACCTGACCTCCCCCTACTGCTCTGATCCCAAAGAGATCATTCAAACAAACACCATCGTTTTTTTTTACCACACTTAGGAAGGAATAGTAAAACATAAATGAAAGTGAAATAGACACCGCCTTCTAAATGGAGGCCTGATTTTTGAGAAGAAATGAAATGTTAGTGAGAGATTCTGGACCAAGAAATTTCGTTGATGTGGAGAGAATCCTCCCTATGTCACGCCCAAGCGAGCCAAAATAACAATAATTGGTAATAATCTTGATAAGTTCGCAAAGGTGAGAGGAAATATTTCTAAAGCTCGGCAGATTTTTTATTTGGAATTTTTTTCCGGCTTTTACGTTACCACTTCCATCGATCCGCAAACGATAATGCACTTATACGGGCAGTTGCAGTTGCCTATAGTGCAACTGTTAAAACAATGCTGCAACTCATAGCCCTCTAGCTGGTGGACAGATCATTGTGCAAATTTTTTCTGTAAATTTTTAAAGTAATTTATGGTAACTTACGATTCCGCCTCCACCAATGCCTCCGCCGAGACCTCCTCCAAGGCTTCCTCCGAGGCCTCCACACACATGACCGCATGTGTGCTGGCAGAGACAAGTACCCGAGTCACAATTGCCATAACAAGTATGTAGACATCCGCCGCAATCCTGACCAGAACATTAGAGAGTTTGAAGATTGATTGCTCATTCATCCTATCTAATTCGCTCTTGAATTTCATATATTCTTCCTTACTGAATAAATTTACCAAGTTTGCGGAGTTCAAGGTTATCCCGGCAACGAAAATCAGTGCGATAGCCGAAAGAAGCATTTCGTTCCTGAAATTTTTCCGAATAGTTAACCACCTAATCGACAACTTTACGACCAGATCTAACTCGTAGGTGAGGAGGAGCACATCAATGAAATGTGTTGGTCTGATTCTTTGATTGTGATGAGGACAGGTACAGACTGATGTTTTGGGTTCAGGATTCAATTAGTAACAATACCTGCGCTTTGATATGCATAAAGGGTGTTAGGCTCTACACGAGGCATAATTTTGAACTGAAAAGGCTGGTAGATGATGATGCGAGAATAAATCATAGGCTAGGCAACTGGAGAGGAATTTATTTAAGCACGAGCTGGGTGGCACACACCTGACACTGAGTCAACTCCTGTTCGGAATCATACATATAACGCTCTCCAATATGAGGAATTCGTCATTTGAGGAATTTGATTGGAGTGATGCAGTGCTTTGATGAAAGCCCCCACTCTTTTTTTGCTTCTCTCATAGAATGACTTTGTACGATTATTGAAAGAGCGCTTGCAATGCTGTCTCCGACAATCAACAAAACAACTAGCAGCTCAGATACAGAGACCTTCAACTACCGATTTAATCAATTTTTTATGAGATCAATGTAAGAAGCCTATCCACCACCCTTGAAGCTGTTTGAAAAATTATGAGAAGGCTGAGGTTCGATCCAATTCGATGTTCACTGACAGGATTTTTAGAAGATCAGAGGGTGCCCCTTCCATAAATTCTGTCGGTCAACGTCGAGTTGAACCTGTTGAACTTTTTCTTCCTACTTTAAAAATAGGATTTGGTGAGATAAAGGATAAAAGAGTAAAGTCTTATGCTTGATCTACCCCGTCTGTTGCGCCCCAGCATTCGACTTCCATTTAGAAATAGCAAAACCTACAGAGTAAGCTGTCGTCCATTTCCGTCCATTCTGTGTTCGTTCATTTAAAATTGACAAACAAGCTCGTGCAGTAGCACATATTTCATTTCATTCAATTTTCATTTTTTCATTAAATTTAATTTTTAAACAGTATTAGTAAATGAGATTTTTTCTACATATTGTCTTGTGACTTGAAGGAATAAATACATGGTTTGCCTCAAAGCTCCAGAAATCCGATTAAGAACGGACGAGGGCTCAATTATGGCAATAGGATCGGTTCTACATAGTGGAAACATTGAAAGCTATAGAAAATACTAGAGGTGCTGTAAATCCTTACGTCCATTCAAAGCTAGAAGGAGCGACCTGTCGAAACGCCTAATCCGAAGGAGCAATTCTAGGTTTACCAGCTATTCTAGTCGTGATCTCCAGTCACCACCCGCTGGCCTACCACCTCAAAGCGGTGGGTGTGTGAACGTGCGGCGTAAGGGCGTGTCCGCTTTACCACTCTTGTTTGAATAAAAAACCGTTTTTTTTTGCATTTTTTTTAGTATTTCATCATGTGCTCCAATGCAGAGTTCCGGTAATTTCCAGTTATGCGAGGCTTTATATTGACCGGCTTTCCGCTTCGCGTTCGAAGCTGTGATTAGGTTGTTGTCGAAGAACTGGAGGGATGGCGGTCCCCTTGCTTGAGTCCCCCTTATCCGTCCGCCCGAGGTGGCGGTTGAATTCTTTCTACACCCGATAATTTGCACACGGCAAGTCCCAGTACATTACGTCTAAATCACTGCGTTCTGGACTAAGGACAAGGACTCGCTCGGGGAAATATCTACCTACTAAAAGGGAGACAACCTGTTGCCCCACCACATGCTTTCGTCCTTACATCAGATGTCGGCTTGTATGGGCCGAAAGCTCTCGCCAGCATTTTTCTACTGTTCGATGGTAACTTTGCTTGGAGCTTTCATCATCCATTCAATTATATTTATTAAAAATATATGTATGCAAATTAAAGGCACGTCCGTATGTCCACACGGCTAAGAGTAGGCCCCCCAAGTGCTAGAGCCTGGCAAGATACACGTGGATATTCAGGCCAAAAACAGTGACACTAAATGGGCCTCATTTCCCTGAACCTGAGGGAGCCCCCAATACGGCAGCGTTGAGACCGCTCGGGAGAGGCTGCTAAAATCTCAGGGCCAAAACAGGCTGCCCAAAAGGAGAAGGACTAAGATGGCGATCTGTACTTTCAACGCACGGACGCTTGCATCGGAAGTACAGAAGATCTGATGATGCAAGCTAGGAAAATCAAGTACGACATCATCGGACTAACCGAGATAAGAAGGCACCGCCCACTGCACGATGTATTTGAAACTGGAGAAGAACTGTTCCTTGGAACATGCGACAGCAGAGGCGTCGGCGGTGTAGGTGTCCTCGTCAATACGCACTTGGCCATGAACACCGATTCGTACGAAAGCTTGACAATCCGAATCGGGCGTTTGCGATCAAGAAGTATGGCTCAACCCCACGTCCAACCATCTGCCTACGCACCAACATCGAGCTACGATGAAGAAGAGCTGGAGGCGTTCTATATGGATCTGGAGAAGCTCTACAGAGAAGACCATACTTTCTTGAAGGTCATCGTCGGTGATTTCAACGCCAAGATTGGCCCCAGAAGAACGACTGAAGAGCTCCACATCGGGACTCACGGAGTGGAATGGAATGAGCAGGGTGAAAGGTTATACGAATTTATCATGTCGAATCACACTATCCATGGTAACTCGCAGTTCCAGCTCTCATTCTCGATAGACATGGGATCGCCTGGTAGGCAGTTCCATAATGAAGTAGATCACACCATCGTCAATCGGAAGTTTTGCCTGACTGACGTCGCTGTTGTTCAGATGTTCTACACGGGATCAGACCATCGTCTCCTCCGCGCTAGATTCCGCTTTTCTGTGCGTGGAGAGAGCTGCGAAGTTCAGGAAACGAAGCCCCAAGACTGTGGTCAATTGAGATCACTTCGCTTCATTGGTGAGTTTGTGGGAAGATTCCGTCAACGACAACATCGACGAAGAATACGACCGGCTCGTCGAACATCTTCACGATTGCACCGGGCGAGCCGAAAGTCTCAAAGAGGTCAAGAAACGTCTCTCCTCGAAGATTCTTGAGCTGATACACCAGCGTGGAATCGCGCGAGCTGCAGGCGATAACCAGCTAACGTCCGAACTTGTAAAGCAATGCAGAGAAGTGATAAAGGAAGACCTGAATGAGAGAAGAGCAGCAGTCTTGGCTGAAGCCGCCGAGGCTGGGAAGAGCATTCGCGTCTTCGAAGTCCGCCGGAGCTTCTTCAGTTATAAGACCAAGATGACTTCCCTTCGTCGTCTTGACGGAACTGTTACGGCATCCCGAAGGGCAATGGAGAATATCATTTACGACTTCCACTCGGATCTCTCCGACAGCCACGTCTACATGCTTACCTACCATCTTAGGCAAGACGGATACGTCATCCCTTCAGTTCTCACTACCGAAATTCGACATGCCACTGCGTCGATGAGGAATGGTACAGCACCGGTTCGCGAAAGGATCAAAGCGGAACATCTAAAGAGCCTTCCGCCAGTCATTGTCAAAACCCTGGCCCGGCTTTTCACGCGGTACCTGTCGCAATGTAAAGTGGAAAACTTCGTGGAAAACTAGCTAGACCGTGTTGCTGTATAAGAAGGGAGATCCAGACGGCATGGGCAATTATCGCCCACTTTGCCTGCTGTCTGTAATCTATAAACTCTTCACACGAGTCATCCTTAACATGATTGGCAGAACATTAGATGAAGGGCAGCCATGCGAGCAAGCAGGGTTTCGGAGAGGGTAGACTACAATCGATCACATCCCCACCATTGCAAGTCTCACTGAAGTATCCCGGGAGTACAATGTGCCGTTATGTCTTACGCTCATCGATCTGACGAAATCCTTTGATACCGTTGAGGCAGAAGCGGTAATTGAAGCCCTGGGCAACCAATGTGTCCCTACTCAATATGTAAAGATGCATCGTGAGCTCTCCAACAATTTCACGACCAGGATCTCGCCATCCTATAAGGAAGTCATCATCAACGTGGAGAGAGGGGTTCGACAGGGCGATGCCATCTCGCCAAACTGTTCAGTGCTGCTCTCGAGAACGTCATGCGTCATATGGAATGGGAAAGCACGGGAGCGAAGGTCGACGGCCGCTACTTGCATCATTTCCGCACATCTTGCTTATAACACCCAACATGGAGCAGGCGAAGCAAATGCTGGCCGCATTGGACAACGCTTGTGGAAATATCGGCTTGAGACTGAACTTAACGAAGACGGTGTTCATACGAAACGGATTGGTGCCTGATGCTCCTTTCATAATGAACGGAAAGAATATCTCTGAATGCTCCAGCTATGTGTGACTAGGTCGAGAAGTCAACATGATGAACGACCTAGCTCCGGAGGTGAGCAGACGGAAACGCTGGGGAGCATTTAAGAACATCGAGGGAGTAGTGAAGAAAACAAAGAGTATCCGGCTCCGCGCTTACCTTTTCGACACTGCGGTCCTTCCTGCTTTAAAGGCACCGTTAACATGATTTTGGGTAATCCAGATTACAATGAAAAACGAAAGACAAGATCGAAACTAGTGCGACTGAGGTGAAGAAACTGCGTGCATCGGTGTTTTCACAGTGAAAAAGGGCCTCGAAAAAACGTTAAAAAGGGGGCTGGACGTGAATGAAACCAGAAAAATGAAGAAGGTGGGGCGCCCAGACGAGCTAAACAGTGCGTTTCACTGCGCGCGTGTGGGTTCTGGTGCGAATAACAGACAATGGTAATTCACAATTCATTCACTTATAAGCATGAATAAACAAAAAAAACCTTAGTAACAGCAAAAGTAGCTCACCTTTTTCAGCCTCTAGAAATAAGGGATCGCGGCAGCAAAAAAAAACAGAGGGAGAAAGAGTGGGAGGAAAACATCGCCTCATCACTGGCGGTTAGCTGTTTGTGCGTGGGTCCTAGAACGAATAATAGCAATCCATATTGACTCGACACTCGTCTAACGTGACACCGATGGAGGGGCGGAGGGCGACCGTGGATATCTCTCCGGCCCGTTATTGTGCCCTATCCAGCCGTTTTCCGACCTTATTCCTGCACAAATGGTACCAGAGGTGGCTTCGAATTCAAACCATGTGCAAATCTCCGAAACACTTTTTCGTTAACAGTGCCTTTAACACACACCTCAGAGACTTGGACTCAACGAAAGGAGGATGAGCATGCAGTTAGCGTCATTCAACGCGCTGTGGAAAGGACGATGCTCGGAATCTCCCTATGCACGCAAGTACAGAAGGGAATCCGGAGTCCGAGTTCCGTCAACGAACGAAGATTAGGGATGCCGTTGATCACACCAAGAGATCGCAGATCAGGTGTGTTGGACACGTTATGCTATATAATGATGATCGTTGGACCAAGACGGTTACTGGATCTATCGCCTCGGGACGCCAAGCGAACACCAGGATGGCCGCCAACGAGATGATCAGAGTTTTTCACGAAAACTCTGAACGAAAGTAATGTTTTGCCCCGTGCCCCTCGAGCGAGTGCGATTTACTGGATACCCTGGCTCGCGACAGGGACGAATGGAGACTTTACTGGCACCCGCTCAAAAAATCGACGATCAACGGGAGTGCAGGTAATACAGGTGAGGGGATCTCCAGTCAAGAAGAATTTCCATTTCCTTCACTCTTTTCCTCTGATTTATTTACAGAAGTGAAAACTCTTACTTTTTTATAAAAGCAATTCAAAAGAAGCAGTTCTGAATTCCTGAATGGAAGGTCTTTTGTATTATCGTCAGGGTTTGGTGATCAATTTTATTTGATCATCTGTACCAAAAATCATTGGGACTGTCTCTGTACCTTTAAGTGAGCTCCTGGGGCTTCTCTAGTGCACAAAAGTATTAAGTAGAGATTTAATCTGATCAAACCCAACAACTGCCACCAAAATAAGCTACAGCGCGTATGACACCTTACATGAGCACTCATTACGGTCAATGATTCATGACAGGCTTCTATACGCGGCAGCACATTCCTCCTCCGCATGAGCTGTAACCGCTGGAGCAGCCACAGCCAGAACCAGATGTGGAGCATGGTACCTGCAACGAACACATTCCAAAATACTCGCCAAAACAGCTAAAACAGTAGATCAAAATGTTGAAAATGTAGAACTCACAACGAGTTGCCGTACTCCTTGACAAGTCTGAGCGCAGGTCGCTTGGCACCTTTGCTGGCAAGGCATGAGCCAAGCGACATTTTGACAACTGCTCATACATCCGCTCTTACAAGTACTCATACAGGTTACCAGCGGAACGACAGGAGCGACCTAGAACGGCAGCCATGTTTTTATTTTCATCAAGACGAGAACGTCCTGTTCACTTCTTTTCACACTCGACTACAGTGCAATACTTGTATGTAGGCCGGAGACACTTTGGGCCACGAAATTATCCCAGAACACTGTGGTGTTGGGTTACGAAATCGTCCCAGAACACTGCTTATAACTTACATAACCGCTCACAACTGCACCACTGCAGACACTTCCACAAGTTTTCTGACAGTTACAACTTCCTGATCCACATCCAGCATAGCATGACTGTAGACAAGTGCCACATGAGGACTATAATTCATACGTAACCAGTAACTCTTTTTCTTTCCGGAACTAGTCTTCCTGCTAGTTCAATATCAACTTCAAAAACTCACAAAACCGCCCACGACTGCACCCCCGCAGACACTCCCACAAGTTTTCTGACAGTTACAACTTCCCGACCCACATCCAGCATAGCACGATTGTAGACAAGTGCCACATGTGGTCTGAATATGAAGCAGAAGCCACTAACGGGAATACACGACAGGAATGTATTTTGACGATTTTTGCTTACTTAACATTTTACCAAGCAAAATTTCTCGCTTTTCTCCATCTACAATTTATACTCACAAAACCGCCCACGACTGCACCCCCGCAGACACTCCCACAAGTTTTCTGACAGTTACAACTTCCCGATCCACATCCAGCATAGCACGATTGTAGACAAGTGCCACATGAGGACTATAATTCATTTACTACCAGTAATTAACTTCTCTCTTCAAATTTAGTGTTCGTGGTAAATTATTACGAACGACAATATCAAGTCAAAGTATCAAAAATATATGGGGGGTGGAGGGAACAAATCAAAGAAGTAGTTCAACTTCCGTTTCGCACGTGCCCTAGACTTAAGTCGAACTTTGAAATACTCTCCCTCCGAGCTCTTCAGTGGGGTAAGGGAGAGCAGAAACTTATGATAACTTCATATAGTAAACAAATAAGTCAAGAAGTGTTGAATAGATAGTAGTTCAATATGGACACTCACATAACCACCCACAATAGCACCTCCGCAGACGCCACCGCAGGTCTTCTGACAGTTACAGCTTTCTGATCCACATCCAGCATAGCACGACTGTAGACAAGTGCTACAAGAAGCCTGCAAATAGAAGTGAATCAAAATAAACACAGCTGAATGCGAAGCGTGTGAGTGCGCCTTCATCTTGTGTAGCTCAATGAAAAGTAATATTTTCATATGTCTCACCCCTTTGCCTTTAGAGGAACCAAACTTATAAGTTTCGACTCTCACTGCAAGCACTTACATAGCCACCGACGACCACTGCTCCGCCTCCGCACACGCCACCGCAGGTCTTCTGGCAGTTGCAGCTTCCCGATCCACATCCAGCATAGCATGATTGTAGACAAGTGCCACATGAAGGCGTCTGAAGAACCATGAATGCAAAACTTTCTGATAGTCCCTCACAACAGCTGTAGGACAGACCAGTGCCACACCGCCTCCGCAGACGCTGCCACAAGTTTTCTGACAGTTACAGCTTCCTGATCCACATCCAGCATAGCACGATTGCAGACAAGTGCCACATGTGGACTATAATTCATATGTAACCAGTAATTCTTTTTCTTTCCGAAACTAGTCTTCCTGCTAGTTCAATATCAACTTCAAAAACTCACAAAACCGCCCACGACTGCACCCCCGCAGACACTCCCGCAAGTTTTCTGCTAGTTACTACTTCCCGATCCACATCCAGCATAGCACAATTGCAGACAGCTACTACACGATGAACCCTAGCCGGAATAACAACTTTTTCATGAGAAATTCAAGAGCACTTCTTTCATCGGAAGATTCCGTCTTGATTTCTTCAGCTTTTCTTGAACAATTTTGGATTCCATCTTCACCAGTGAAGATAGGCAATTTTCGGGTATATTTAGAATATTTGCACCGATAGAGTTTTGCCAAATGCACTTAATTCTGAATAAACCCTTTGTTCCATTTTGGAGCGAATAAGCGACTTACTGGATTTGCAAAGCAGGCAGATAGCAGTTGAAGGAAAACGAGAACTGTAGGGAATCTGTGCATTATTCGCCTGATCAGGAAAATAGGACTTGATTTTGTATTAGCAATATAATAGTGAACGAGGCTTTCTTTTAATGAAATGGATCAGTCGACAGCCTATCAGTATCATTTGCTGACCAGGGAAGGATCCCAAGTCGAAGTGGCCATTTGAAATGAGACCTACACTGCTAGACGTGTTTTTGGATGCTGAGTTCAAATCTGCTTTCCAAATTTGCCGAGCGTTTCTCTG